TAACTACTTCTTTCAATCTGATATACTCAAAAAGCAAAAACAAAAACAACAACAACATGAAATCATAATTTTAAATTAAAAACATAAACAGAATTACTTAAACTGTCCCATCGAATTTGTCACCTTCATTTTAATTTTAATTAAACTAAATTATTTCATGATTTAAAAAAAATTATTTTCTTAATTAACGAATGTTTTTTCTCAGAAGGGGTTTTGTGGAGATTTTAGTAATTTCATTGATTGAAATCATGAGTCAATTGAAGCTAGACCATCATGGAAAACCTGGAAGCACTGGACGGCCCTTTCATCTTAGTATGGCACTCCTCAGCAGTATACATCCACGATCCCGACCCCCACGAGATTCAAACCCAGGACCTATCAGTTCTATTAGTCTCATACTAGGACGAAACAGCCGTCCAGTGCTTCCAGGCTTTCCATGGTGATCTAGCTTCAATTGACTCATGATTTCAATCAGTGGAATATGTTTTTTCTTAATAAAAACAAAAAAATATTGATTGCTGTTTTTTGTTGTTGTTGTTATGGTTACTAATTTGATTGGATGAATATTTTTGTTAAGAGATTTAAATGTAGATTTTTATCACGAACAGTTAATAAACAAATCTTTTTCAACAAAAAGCAACTACAACAACAGCAACAACCAAGAAGCATAGTGAGCAGTTATTTTGTTCTAATTTAGAACTTTGTATTACTGTTTTGTTCTTTACCCCAAAAACCAGTCTAGTTATCAATAATAACTATACTGAAAGTAGTAATAGTGGTGCGACTATAATTTATGGATGACCTTTCAGAGACGCTAGAATGAACTTGAGAGTGTGCAACTAATAACTAGGACCAAATGTGGATTATAAACCAGTGTGAGGAATTATAATTATGATTTACAGTTGATGGTTAGGGTTATAAAATGGATTTAGGGTTTTCATCACGAACAAACATTAGCTATAATGCCAAAACTCTATTTGCCCAAATGGATGAGTGAATTTCGCGCCAAAATCCGAGACCTGTTATCTTATACGTGATTGGTTCGTCCAGAAATTTTAGTCTCGCCGTAGTGGTAAGATTAATAATAATAACAGTAATGGCAACAATAAGGATATGATAAATAGGTTGTGATTAACAACGGGATACAGAATCGATGTTTTGTTCAACTTGGAACTCATCAATTAGGTGTACTTTCTTTCTAGTGGTAATGTTTGCATTGACATGTAAACTTAGTACAGTTGACTTTTAAAAATGACGTGTAATCCATTAGGCTATTAAGTCCTGATAGCCACTTACTTGTGTAATGGTACTGGGTTCGAGTTATTGAATAAACATCAACTCTGGAATGCAAGCACAACCAGCTGATGGGTTTCAAATAGGACGAGACACGCGTTCTGGATTCCACTGCTAGCCATCATTCATCTTTACTTATAAAATAAAGTTGGTTAAAAACTTGCGAATTTTTCAGTAAAGTACAATAATAACACTGACGTGTTATTCACCTAGCTACTGAGTTCAAATAGCTGTTCACGTATGTAATGTGAATGGTATTTCTATTAATTTTTTAAGTAAGAGTATGAATTAACTCGTTATTCATATTCATGATATAATTTCGATTAGTCTTTTTTAGCAATAGCCATTATATCACAAGTTTCAGTGGACAGATGAACTGTATCTAGGTTCCACTGATAGCCACGATTCATCTGTTTGATAAATTATTTGTCAAACTAACTGTACCGTGGTAATTCGTAGAGGAAGCTGATTAAAAATGAGTAATTCAAACCTTTACTAATTATGAAATACTATTAATAATGATAATGATAATAACAAAAACAAAAAAATTTGTCTAGTAAGTTTTAATCACTTTTTCAAATAAACGCAGTTGAGATATATGATTTTAATTGTTAATACTATTGTGATGTCTGCTACTTCTGTTGACGCCCCCAAATGCCTTGGTACGGCGGAGAGTGGGTAGAGTCCGCTCTCCCTCTCGAACTGCTCTCACATGATCACGAGTATTAGCCTCTGCCAGGGAAGTCCTACTCATTGCCTTCTCGTAGCGGGGGTGTTGTTTACGAAATTAAGAGGACGAAAAGCGAATGTCTGGCGCTTTAACCGGGTTGATGAACATGGAGAGTCCACCTGGGGGAGTTGGAAAACCCTGATTCCAAACCAATGGTGCACATGGGCTCCAGTATCCTGCGGGAACAAATGGCGAATGAACTAATCGTTGGTCACCGGCTACCATGGGACTGCATCTCCTGACGTTGCTCCACTGCCATGTGGATCAGACTTCTAGATCGAAGGCTCCGGTTGTGGCCCTCTAAGGAAACCACCTGCTTCGGTTTGGGCACCCGGGCAGTATCACAGCCCTCACACAAATCAAATGAGATTTGTGTGGTGCATATGTATTTGGTGCCTCCTTGCACCGATATCTATGTGTTAAAATAACATAAAATAAATACTCCTGTAGACGGATATATGTAGTATGTAATACCACTCAGAAGTGGAATGCATGTCTGCAGAAGATTGATATGATCAAATAGAATAGAACAAGAATGTAAACGGTTAGCAATTATAGTAACAACAGAATTGAAAGAAATATGAAGCATGTAAGGGACAACAGAAGGAATATGTACAAATGATGTATTTAATGTACAGTTTCCATATTTTACGAAAGTATTCTATAATTTTGCATTAAACAATAATTTAGTCTTTTCCAAATGAGTTCTCGTTCACTACATTGAGAATTACAGTTATCTGAAATACTGCTTTGCTATGTAAATGGATACTAACAGTTGAGATTATCATCCGGTATACTTAGTCAATGTAATGAAATAGAGAACTTCCATTAACATGTTCTTGTTTTAAGCCTGACAGTTACTGAAGAAATCAGGCATAAATCACTGTTTACATCGTTTATTTAAGTTATTAATTACAAGTATGCTTTAGAATCATACTATAAATATAGAGTTTGTAACACTCCGTGTTCCTAATTAGAGAATTACTAAAAACCAGTAAATACTGGATAGATATAAGGAGCTCTTTAGCAGTACACATTCATGACCCTACAATAAACCTTTGAGTTTCACTGCAAACACTTAAACATTAAACGAATAAGCCGTCAATCAACTAGTGTATATTTATAAATAGTATAAATGTTAGGTTCTATTCTATTTATCACACAGTTTTATTCTTATGGGCATTTCTACTGTACGGAGCTGAAACTTGGAGAACTACAACAACCATCATCAAGAAGGTGCAAGTATTTATAAATAGCTGTCTACGCAAGATATTCAACATCCATTGGCCGGATACCATCAGCAACAGCCTTCTGTGGGAGAGAACAAACCAGCTTCCAGCTGAAGAAGAAATTAGGAAAAGACGATGGAAATGGATAGGACATACATTACACAAATCGTCAAACTGCATCACGAGGCAAGCCCTAACTTGGAATCGTGAAAGGAAGGCCAAAGAACACATTACATCGTGAAATAGAAGCAGATATGAAAAGGATGAATAACAACTGGAAGGAGCTGGAAAGGATTGCCCAGGACAGGGTTGGATGGAGAATGCTGGTGAGCGGCCTACACTCCTTCACGAGGAGTAACAGGAGTAAGTAAGTAAGTTTATTCTTATGGGTAAATGAGATTATGAACTCAAATATAGTTAGTTGAAAATTTACGAAATTTCCAGTCAAGTAAAAATGATCTTTCAAATGAACATTCTCGTACTTATATCGGTTTAGAAATGTTGTTTATTAGATGAAATTTTATAGATGTTGCTAACTCTACGAAGGCCTTATGTATGATTAGTGTCCAAATATAACTTCTTGACCATTAGACTGGGTACTTATTAATAACACCTAACGAAAGCTTTCTCGTTTTTTGTCAGTAATAGGTCTTGGTGTAGTAGCTAAATAATTTCATGTTATTTGTGAAATCTCGATATCTTAATCATGTTTAATCATTTTAGGTGTAAGGGAACATTGATATCATCCATATCTAGACCGAGATAGTTGCTCATCATTGACATTAAAGTACAGTTACTTGAAGTTAGAAATATAAACCAATGGATACCAACCAGGTAGTCTAATAATTAAGGACTCACTTCAAAACTTATGGGTCCTAGGTTCGTTCTCTTATAGAGTCATGGATGTACACTGCTTAATAGTCCTATACTACTGTAGTGAACAGAACACGGGTGGGGACAATCGAATTATATTTACCACAAAATTATAGAGTTACGTGGTAAAATTAAAAAAAACCCATACTATAATACTTAATTTGCAAAATGTTCAGTAATTGTCTCGAACTTCATTGTTCTTGTATTTTCATACTAATTGCTGTCCATTCCCGCTCTTCCTTTCTTGATCTTCCCCATCTTCTGCTGCCAAACATTACATTCCTGACTCACATAAAATACTACTTATATCAATGCAAGTAGCGCGAACCACACTATGACAGATCAAATTTCCATGTCACCCGAGTTTTCATTAGTTGTTTATTTAAAATCAACTCAGTGATCTGAACTACAACATTCAATAATCTTCATAAACCCCTTATATAATAATGTTACAAAACTATCCCGAAAATTTGTAACCATTTACAAGTAAGTGAATAGTTTACATATATATATATATAGGAAGACAACAAATCAACGGAATTTAGGACCTTCGAAAGGAGTAAAATATCAAAACTCCTCCCTTTTTTAAAAATTAAATTCTATATATAAACAAATAAGTAAAATTTCACAATTATTTACTGTAATATGTTTCTTTTTAAGTAGTATATGAATACAGATATGAATTTCTCAAGGCACCTATTCAATAATTTTCATTTTGAATATATAACTGTGCCAAATTATTGTCATCGTTTATTGCTTCCCCATGAACAGATATAATAATGATGATTACCTAGATAGTATAGACAAGTATACACTCATCAACGTAACATTTCTCAAAATGAATTCACGCATTTCAAATGAATGTAAAGCACATATTATACACATGAATTAAACATATCTTGTATAGTTGTTAAAGAATTTGTTGAATAATCTAAATGATGCATATATTCATTATGTTGATCATTTTTTTCATTTATATCATTAAACAATGGACAATGATTATTTGTACAATATAATAAATCACTACTACTTATCATTGAATGAGTAGTATGAATTGGATTTGTATTACATGTCGTTATCATAGAACAATCATTTGATGAATGGGGTATAATTTCATGAATAGGTGGTGTTGGACTATTTCTTAAATTGATTAATTGACATTGTGTACATATTTCTGATTCATAATTACTCATATAATCACAGCATGAAACATTTGATGTTTCTTTTAAATAATGATCATGATTATGAATAGTTCTTCTTTCTTGATTGATATGATCAATAGTAGAATCATCATTATTATTCCCGGTAGTAGTTTGATTTCCTGTATGAAATAATAATCCTAAATCTGTACATTTTGATGAATTAGGTAGCTTATTCATAGTTGGTAATGTACAATGACATTGTTTCTCTTTTGAAAACATGGTGTAATCATCATTTCTATTATTTCCTAATAATGATTTTATATTACAATTTGATTGTTGTGACAACTTTCTTGTACATGGTGGTGTTAAAAATCGATGTGAGAATGGTGGCAGAGGAGGAGGAGGAGGAGGAGGAAGAGGATGAGGAGGCAACTGATTTTGTTTATAAAGAAAATTTCTTTTATTATATATAGATAATTGTGGATTTATAGGTTGACTAGTTGGTGAATTATGTTTTGTATCATTTAAATGTAGATCATCTATTGTGACACCAGTAGTATAAGCTAAAATATTTGGATGTGATTTAAATTGATAAAGATGTTGGCGATCACAGATTTCATAGTTACCAGATGATGATTTTAGTATAGAACTATTCATAAGGTGTTCATTATTATTACTATCTAGTGTCTTTTTTAAAGGATAATTATCAAAACATGGCATAGATGGTATAAAACTGACATTTTTCGGTATTCGTTTCATAGGACTGGATTTTTCATGAAGATCTATATATAGAAGAAAGTGAATTTTTTTAGTTTACAAATGAAACATTTAACATTGATTAGTGATATAAGATTGATTGGCTATGCATAAATTAAGTATACTAATATCCTAATTCAGTGACTTGATGTGATAATATTTACTGGTCTGCTTAAAGTTCATCATTTCTAAAGTTGAGAGACAGGATCGTAGAATAGGCAACTGATATATCCTTCATACTTATTATTTTACACTTCTTACTCAAGAATTACTTATCAGGTATATCGAAAAATTTTAGTTCTAAAAAAATACCAGATTTTCGAGGTAATTTATGGAAAGTGTGTATATTGTGAGTTGAAGCCCTGCTAGTTATCGCGTGATTTATTCACCAGTCGAAATACGACTTACTCAATCTTAGTACTGTGCTAAACCAATGACATTCAACCGGTATGTGCAACCTAGCGTCCTTATTGGTCCTTTATTCTCCTAGGCTTGCCAGTTTAGTTCAGAACACTAATAGCAGCTTCCACTATACGAATCATTTACCTCAAACATACTTGGTTTATATACCAGCCAAACAGACCGCATCACACGATAAAATTGGAAATAACATATTACCAAGATCAAGCCTAAAAGTGACTGTGAACATGGGAGACTGTAATCAATAAACTGAACATAACTTAAGAACAGTAAATGGTATAATAATAATTTATAGGTCAAAATGAAGTTCATAATAAGGGGAATAGAGATATACATATTATAATTACTGAATAGTAATACCATAAGAATATATAGATAATATTAGTCCATTAATAGTTCTCAGAAGTTACCCGTAATTTAATCTTCACTAGGATATAACAGTATAGTTCACTGATAAATCCGGTCTTGAACTATAAATCAATCACTTGGTAAATGTACATTTTGTTCATAATTTGCACCATTGATATGTATAATTTACTATTTTCATACATCCATATTTTGTGACAGCTGACAAGTGAATGCTTAATACATCGTAGGTTTGTGTTCATGAATATATGACAGTTTGTCATATATATATATTAGTCACTCTAATCAGGTTTAAATCGGAACTCGCCGATTAATGTATTTTTAAGTGATCAGTACTGATAGACTAGAAGATGCTAGCAGATTCTTATTCAAATTCTAGACAAACCCTAATATTTTTACTACTGTATATTTGTTGTTTTGATTTGTTGAAGTGTATTTTTGTTCTCCACTAAACTCCTCTTAGGATTTGGCATCAGTAGAGTAGATTATCGTGGCCAGAGAATACTTCATAGTAGAAGAATTTAACAGTGGTGACGAGGTTGAGATAATCGTAATAAAATGAGTATCTAAAGATACCTGCAGAAGCAGTTAATTAGTATTATTTGAGGGATATTGTAATGAAACTAAAAAAAACCAAATAAGTAAAGAAATAAAGAAGAAACATTCAAAAACTTCATGAATTTTCTCTTTATTTCATCGTTTATTCAGTTTATAGTTGAAATCATGAGTTAATTGAAGCTAGACCACCATGGAAAACCTGAAAGCACTGAACGGCCTTTTCGTCCTAGCATGGCACTCTTCAGCAGTGTGCATTCACGATCCCGACCCCCACGAGATTCGAACCCAGAACCTATCAATCCTATTAGTTTCATACTAGGACGAAACGGCCGTCCAGTGCTTCCAGCTTTTCCATGGTGATCTAGCTTCAATTGACTAATGATTTCAACTATTAAAATTTGTAAAAATCTCCACAAAACCCCTTCTGATAATATTCAGTTCATGTTTTGTACTTTCCAGTCTTCAAAAATCATTGACATACATAGATTTTACATTCAAGTTGTTACATATATTATTGAATACTATGTATTTGATGAGACTAATTAGATTGTTTACATCTAAACAACTAATAATTCAGTTCATACAATCAAACAAATTTATAACTAAAAGTAACATCATAGATGTTACTTTAACGTTCTAATCATCTTAATGTATTCAAGTTAAATAACTGCATACTTGTTTCTGGCAAATGTATTATATTAGGCAGATGAGGTTGGTGAAAGGTAAGAGTTAAAATAACGACTTACGATTTGAGGGCCAAATCCTACTTACGATTTCATAAAGATATGATGGCAGTAAGGTATTTGCCACGGATAACTAGCACTTGAAATAACGATGCTTTCACACAATCGAATGACGGAGTTAGAAAATGTCAGCATTCAAAACTGCAAGCCTCTAATTGGTTTAGAAGTTTTCATCACCTGCGGTGATGTTTTTAAAATATAGGACTGATATATCCATAACTACTCATAAAAAACGTGTGTGGCTAATCTGAAGATGAGATCTGAGATGACGCTCTCAGTTTGCTATGGACACTGGTAGTCCTGTTTTTGTTACGAGTACCTTAAGTAAGAGGGTCCTCCGACAATAATGACCATGAGAAGCGATAACTACCAACATACCATTAAAATCAATTAATTATGTTCAATATTAAGTTTCACTACAAAACCGTTCGGCTACAAAGTAATATGTTTGTACATATATATACATGTAAATAAATTCATAGGAATGAAAAATTGTAAACTATACGAATAGGGAAATCTCACTTTGTGTCCTGTGTGCAATCAGAGAAGTATTATTATTATTGTTATTGTTATTACTAATATTTAATAGGGATCTGGATGATGGCCTACCTAGAGGAGGTTTTTCATAACCACATTTATTTATCTGTAAAAGAAAAAGAAAAGAGAGACAAGTTGTTCTATAAATAAGCAAACCAATGAAATGAATAAATACTTTTGATATTGTTTACTTGAATCTTCCCATTGTTGTTTAGGACTGCAATTGCTCAGTCTCTTATTGGCATATATGCATACTGTGCGTAATGTCTCGATATTGCCTTAATTCACAAGCATTATATGCAAAGATGGATAGTGGTAGGTACATCCAACTGACTAGTCCCAAATAGGACGAAACGCGAGTTCTGGATTCCACAGCTAGCTACTATCCATCTTTGCATATAATGAAATAAATTGTTTAGAATGATTAAATAATATCCAAGTCAATATGAACGAAATATTATCTTTCCAATAATTTCTCATCAGTTTCTATGGTTACAAATCTAAATAAACGATCCGAAAGTAATGACCAGATTGAAATCAAATAAATGATTTTAGCATCATTTCATATGAATTCAGGATTGATTGTAAAATAGTTGTTTTTAGTTTAACTGAAATTCCGGAAGCAGTTTTATTGTGAGACTCCTCAACAGTAGGTATCCACGATCTCGCACGCGGGACTAGAACCCAAGACTTTCTGTCTCGCACAAACACTTAACCTGTCAATCACTGAGCCGGGAAAATATTGTGCAAATACTGTAATTAACCTAACTATTTAAAACTTCAATATTTGAGATCACGAGTCAATTAAAGCTAGATTACCATGAAAAAACTAGAACCATTGGACGGCCGTTTCATCCTATCATAGGACTCCGCAGCATTGCGCATTCATGATCCCTCATATGAGGCTCGAACCCAGGACATATTGGTATCGCGTGCGAACGCTTAACCTTTAGACCGCTGAGCCGGCATCCAATGGTGTTAATGTCTAATTTCAACTAATCCACGAAATTGAGCAACACATCCACCATTGTCACCAGTGAGTTACTATCTCACAACAGATATTTAAAACTTGTTTAAAATTTTAAATGTTGGTTGTATATGTGATCACACACTATCATAAGAAAATTACAAACTATTAGAATATTAGATACTGGTAGACTCAAACAGAAACACTGAAGTTATCCTTTGATAAAACAAGTGATGAATATATTCAAACTAAAGCATCTTATATATGATCGACAGAAAAATAGTTGAATTGGCTGAAATGGTAAAAAAAACTTTACAGGCAGAAGATACTGATTGTTAAAAACATTTGCTGAACGTATTTTCAATAATTACGAATCGGATACATTTCTAATGGGTATTTATTGTTATATTGCACCAGTGGTGCTGAGAATTCCATACTGGTACGGAATAAAACCACTGAGCTATCCGGGCCGCGACCGACCTTCTGTCGGACTGGGATGTAGTCACAATTAATTGGTCATAGGGTGGTGATCAATGTCATATGTGTCAAGTCCTTATTAGTGAAGCTGGGTGACACGGGATCGAATCCGTCAGGGAGTACCAGTTCCCTCAAGAATACAGGTACACCGTACTGACGAGTGCCAAGTAGCACGAAACCCGGGTCCAGGGTTTCCTGTTGACTACCTCCAACCACTATCTAATCTCAATATATAGTGCATGTAGTGTCGAGTCACCTAGACTAGTGGCCACATTGCATCTGAGACAATAGCATTCGATCTGCACTAAATAAGGACTATACACACATGGCACTGATCACCACCCAGTGATCAATGAATTGTGATGAAAATGTATTTCACGAAAGACTAGTATATTATTAATTGAGAAATATGAGATATAAGAATCGTAATAAAGACAATGTTTCTGTTCATTCAATATTATCTTATGGTGAAAATTGGATTCATATTGTGAATAATATTCAAAAATCCCTTAAATAGACAATCACCCCAAACAACCCGGTAAAAATAACATTTACGTACTACAAATTAGATATATAATTAAGTAATTACAGAAGACTAGACATTTTTTTGAGTGACATTTCTGATCTTGTTCACTATGTTTAATATAGATGTAGGTCAGTTGATTGGAGTTAGTCAACAGACAACACTATATTAGTCTTGATTGAGTGAAAGTTGGCACTCTTTAATTAGGCTTACCTACAATCTTGAAGAAAACGAACACTTTTGTGCTAACTAAATCTGACCCATGGCATAAATAACTCAATAACAATAAACCTAGATGACGTAGATTTTAATCCCAAATTAGGCATTAGTTTCATCAAGATTTCAGATTAGCTTTGTTTGTAACTGTAAACTAATATGAAACCTTGACCTAGAATTTAGCATTGACCATTTCCAACATAGTATACCTAATATCTATTCACTTAGACTAACGTTTATATTACTACTTGATCGGAATTCGATCATTCATAGAAAACTAGGCAAACATGACATTGGTTATTAATCACTGATTAAACAATTGTAAGACTTAAGAATGTACGAATACAATTTCTTTGTAAATGCTAACAATATTCAACATATATATTCCAAGATTGAATAGGATGACAATTATGTAACCATTGAGTAAATGGTAACTTACTTTATATACCAGTCCTAGATAAGATTTTCAATTGAAATATAGAATATGACTTTTTATACAATAATTTATAGCAGTTTCTCATGAAACTGTTAATGAAGTCTGATTACTTTTGTTTTCTTTTGCTAAACTAAACGCCCCATGGTTATATTGACAAGATAATGAATGATTCATTAAACTGGATAATACTCGTTCATAGATTGTTTTTCCTTAGAGAGTATCCTATTTTATACCTCATAATAATAATGATTATTATTATTATTGTTGTTAGTCTGAAAGTTAAGTTGACTAATATGGAGATAGCATGCTTAAATCATTGATCCCTTAGTTACAGTAATAATATAGAATGTTTTCCTTTTTCTTTTATTTTAAAAGGAAATACATTACAAATTTCTTCCTAGAACGGTTTTATCTTCAAGTTTATTCTGATATAATATTTCAATTTGTATCAGCATAGGTTTGTGGAGATTATTATGTTATTGATTGAGATCATGAACCGATTGATGTTAGACCACTAGTGAAAACCTGTGATCACTGGACGGCCATTTAGTCCTATTATGGGACTCCTCAATAGTGCGCATCCACGATCCTGCTCGCGAGATTTGAACTCAGGACCTTCAGTCACGCAAGCAAACGCTTAACCTCTAGACCACTGAGCCGGCATCCAATGGTTTTCAATGGTTGGCTAACATCAATCTGTTCATGATCTCAATCAACAACATAATAATCTCCAAAACCCTATACTGATAATTACCATGTGCTCACTAATGACTAGCTTCATGAGAGAATTCTCGGGGTTCTAGTGGGAAGACGTGGCCATTGGAGTTAGTCCGTGTCAGTTAGAGGCAGGTATCTACCTCAGTACAATGTAAGATGGTCGCGCAAGTTCGTGGATTGGTTGAAGTTAGACATTAACACGATTGTATGCCGACCAGTTCAGTGGTTTGGAGGTTAAGCGTTCGCTTGCGTGATTGAAGGCCCTGGGTTCGAATTTCACGAGCAGGATCGTGGATGCGCACTATTGAGGAGTCCCATAATAGGACTAAATGGCCGTCCAGTGATCGCAGGTTTTTAATGGTGGTCTAACATCATTCGGTTCATGATCTCGATTTCAATTTGTTTTTTTTGAAAATCTCATTTCTATGATGATGAAAATGAGACTTCTTCACATAGTAATTTTATTTATCCCGTTACTTCATGATTATTAGTAAATCAATATAACAATCTCGAGGGGCAGGATCGTGAATGCGCGTTACTGAGGAATCCCACACTAGGACGAAATGATCGTACAGTACTTTCAGGTTTTACATGGTCGTCTGGCTTCAATCAACTGATGAATTCAAGTATTAAGTTACTATAGTATCCATAAAACACTTTATTGATATTTTATGTGTTCATAATCGGTATGAGATCTTGTAATGAATTCAATTAGGGCTCTTCGTCTTTGTCAGCTTACATCACCTGTTGCATAGGTGACTAAATCAAAACAGAACATCATTTCATGAAATCATTGTGCTTAGTTTATGAATGAGTAATCACAATCAACTGTTAGTGATGTTTTATGGCATGGCTCTGAATTGATCGGAATGATGTAGATCTATTCACATTTTGTCTTATCTTAGATCGTGAGTTGTAGAATTTTCCTCCACATTTATATACTAAAAATAAATTCTTTCTTTTAGAATCACATCATGAATGATTAATCTTTTCTAATATTTACAGATACTGTCACTTCTTTCATTACCCTGGCATTTATCTTGTTAACTTCATCTCACTGTACTGATATAGTTTGGCAGCTTGAATTGATGCATATTCATGGCAGGTTCCATGTTGTAAACTCTACATTAAAACAGATAATAATGAAGAGGATTGTTGAAGTGGATTTACTATCAAAATAAATAACTTAGTTATTTAGCTAGTTGGCAAGTTTATATTTTTTACTAAAGAAATGTATGGAAAGTCTCAGGTTTCGGTGTACTCGTCCTCTCTCTTAGAACTCAGTTTGTTCACTGAAACTCAGATCGTCAACAATAGACAAAATAAAATTAGTACCTTGAACTAATCAGATATAGGCTAAATGATAAATGAGAGATGCTGATAAGCGAACGTTATTGGTTAAGATTTGGTTATATATTCTAAAGTAATCGACACTCTTTATTGATTGAAAATGTGGCCCAATTTTTTGAGGGATATATGTCTATATTTCTGAATGAGTTGTGTATGTAATCTGGATATGTCTAACTCAGAAAATCTTCCTATTCACCAGAAGTTTTTACATTCAAGTAACCTGTTTGTGCACACATTTAGGAAGCATATACACATCACTATCAGTATTCCGACTAGTTCAAATTATAACAGTAATATATGTTATAAGTAAGAAAAATCTTTTGTAACTGAACAGAAAAATGATGATTTTCCATTAATTTGACTGAATGAAAATAAATATAACATGTTCAAAATAATCCAAATAGTTTCTTCATAATACCA